AAAAAAAAGGTGTTTACTTTATGTCTTCACGTTCATGTGAGCCTCATTGTGTTTTCACCCTGGTGGAAGTGAAGGAGGAACCACAGAAGGTAAAGATGAGACTCCTCTATGTTCAAGGTTGGGTCTGCCCAATGAAGCGTTACAATGCCGAGTCAGAAACCAGGGTTCCCAGGCTCCTGCTGAGGAACTTCGTGATTAGTACATAGTGACTCTCTGTCTAGTTACAGCAAACCAGACTCATCACATACTGGACATGTTTGCTTGTTGTTCTGTCTCTTGCAAGAAGGAATAAAGAGCTGCTTTGAGTGAAAATCCCTGATCTCTGCTTGGTAACCAATTGTGACGGTTTGTTAGGGGAAACTACTTTGTCTTCATTTTCAGTGTTCCGCAGGAACAATTTATCACCTAAACTCTCTGGCTGTGTGATATATATATATATTATAAAAAGAAGTAAAAATATTTACTCAGCAGACAAAAAATATCCCAGTTTAAATGAAACATTTGTGGGATTAGATAAAGTCCTAAACATTGTCAAGGGGAATCCCACGTAGTTCCACTTCTGATAAACCAGCAAAAGGGAAGAAACAACCAGAAACAATGTCACAGAGGAAAGGGAAGTGAGAGAAGGCTATCAGTTGGATTCTTCTGATTGGCTCAATTCAAGGTGTCTATCAGAGTCTGCCATTCACATAGCACAAAGGTAAATACTGCAGTCATGTTTCAGCAGATTTAATTGTGATTTTAATTCATCCTCACTGTGTTAAACTGATGAAGCTTAAATCTTTGCTACTGATTAGAGCTAAATGATTGTTTTCTGAGTTTCAGTGTAGACCTAAAAACAATCACATCAACTATTAGTCCAATATGAACAGGCAAAAGCACAAAACTTATTGAAAAGACAAAAATCAATTCAAAACTCCATTATGGACCCATGAGATAATTAAGCACACATAATTTTAACAGATTTTTTATTTTCTTTAGCTTCTCATATTTTTTTTAATGATCTGAAAATCATGAATCCCTAAAAAGTCCACTTATGTTTTAACACACTCTAAGAGTCATACAGGCTTCTTTTAGTTGCTTTATCTGAATTGTTCTTTTTCGAGGATGGAACAATCAATCGTACAACAAGCCTCTGAGAATTCCTGAATCGACAGTTGGGTAAATAAGGTATAATTGTGGATCATCAAATAATATATTTGAATGTCATTAGTACACCGATGGCAGCTTTCTGACTATCTAGTTATCTGTGCACCCTTAACGTAATCTTCCAATATTTAAGTTGGATGTCCTTCACTAAGTCACCCTATGCTTTATTCTTTTCTTTTTTTTAGCCTTTTAAGAATTTCTGATGAAAACCTCATATAAAATTAAGATTTAAATAAATTATTTTCGTTCAACCAACAAGTTTTTTTAGTAGTGAAACAGGTACTTCTCAAAAATAGTAAAACTATGTAAACGAGGTATCAGGTTTGAAGAAAAATAATAATATCTGTCTTTAATTAACATTTATTAGATGATGTCATGTTGAAAATAATTTATACCCTTTCTAAATAAGTTTGGGCTCTTCCACGGATCTGTTTCAGAAAACAGCAGAAGAAACACCATTATCCCTTCAGGAAGTGTCAAGGTTAAGTGCAGACAGCGAGCGCCACATTTTACCTCTTACAAAAACCGAAATTGTTCATGATTTCAAGTCAACAATTCGTTCACTCACACAAAGAGAATTCAACACCGCGGGAAGTCAATTTGTGCTTGCGGGCTGTCCTGCTCCAGCCAGCTGGCTTTCTAAAGGAACACATTCTTCCATGCTCAGCACACGGTCACAGGAGAGCCATCTCCGGCTGCTGTGACAGCAAGGCGACCAGTCATGCCAACGCTGGAACCAGCACTTCCAGATAAAACCCGACCAGTCCACAGAGGACAAGAGGTGGAAAAGCTGGAATCTTTATTCTGACGTGCGCTTCATTTAAGCTACTTGAACGTGAGTTCATTCCTTTTCAAAAGAGGAAACGGACAGGTGGACGAAATAATAAGTCAACTTTTGACAGGGAACAGAGTGTTGACCTGAAACATGACGGGGACCATTTAAAACAATACACAGCTCTGCTGCCTGGAGCTTGCTAACAGTACCGGACAAGAAAGAGAGTTTATACTGGAAACTTCCCCCGTATGCAATCCACCTTTTTGCGCTCGTGAGAAAATATAATTTTTACCTGGCTAGTAAGACGCCCCTCACCTTACCCGGCTAGCTAACAGCTAATATCAATTCCCTCCTGTTTGGAAAGCGTAAAAACTTACACTAAAGCGAGGAAAAACGAAGGGAATGGCTCTGATAGGACAGACATTAGAATAGCAGCGTGTGAGAGCTAACCTTAATTCGTGAGAGTGGGAAAGCCGGTGAATTCCTTATTCGGACTTAGCATTTCTCCCAGCGTAACTCCAACATGTGTCTAAACTGTGTGTATACGTGTCTGCAAAGTGAGCTACACTGCTAACGTCAGCTAACAGTTACCAGACAGCCGCGGGGCTCTCACATTGATCCAATAGCGCCCACTGCCTCAAGATGTCGCTATTTTACAGTTGTTGTATTTATTATTATTATTATTATTATTATTATTATTATTATTATTTCCTTAAAAGGTCACTTTGGACTCGCTTTTTGAATTTTATAATTCTGACATTATTCCTGCATTTTCTTTCCTTTAAAAATTCCAGATCTAAATATTTAAAAAATATATTTTGTCACCTCAAAATAATGACCTATGCCATATTTAGCTAAATATGCTAAGATTCCTTTGCCAAAATCACCACCTCCTTCTTGCCAACAGATGATTTAGGCCAGAACAAAATCACTTTTGATTTATTATTTTAGGAAGGTGACAGTTTAAAAACTGAACATTGTAGATAAATGACACACTTATATTCATTTAGGATTACTTGTTTGTGTTTGTGTGTGTGTGTATATATATATATAATTTTTTTTTTTTTTGCATATCATTATAGAGTTTTTCCAGTCATGTACAGCTTTACATTTTGATACTTACTAAAAAATTATATGGTTTTCACCAGGTTCTAAATAATATACAATGTCAATTTAATAAAAACTACAACAGATTCAAAACTATCATTTATTCACCTTTTCAACAAAGGGGAAAAAAACAGCTACTGTCTACATCGGGTTTAAGAGCAAAAGTAGCAGCCAAGAGCTGATAATCTGCAGGTGTGAATATGTCTATTAAACATACAATGATCTTAGAGAGGAAATATTTACTGCCCTTCAATCTGGAAATCATCACAGAGGCTATTTCCAAACTTATGCCTATCCAGTGAAAAGATCGTTCTGAAATGGAAAAGAAAGAAGATTGTTGCCAATTTTCTCAGTCATGGATTACCCAACCCGTTCACCAGCGTCGTCTTATGTAATGATCAGGGAAACTCCAAAAGACTCCAGATCAAATTCATTCTTCACAAGACTTAATTTACCAGATAGAAGTTAAAGTTAATAGACAATTAGACTGTAAGAACATCTTATTCCCAAGGAGTAAGCCTCTTCTCTGCTAACTTTAGGTTTTCTCAGTTTTTCTGAGATAATGCTGCCACCGACTACTCATTCTCTCTCTTCTTTTAAGTTCTTACTTTCATGAACATCAAAAATAATCCAACATCAGTTCATCAGTTTCTTCTTGTACATTGTACTCCGTCTTTTCAACCCCCCAGTCAGTCGTGGTAGATGGTCACTTGTATTGAGCCAAGTTCTGGTTCTGCTGGAGGTTTCTTCCTGTAAAGAGAAGTTTTTCCTCTCCACTGTCACTGAATATATACTCGGTATGAGGGATTGCTGTAAAGTCAATGACAACGCAAGCGATTGTTGCTACGTGCTGGTCCAGAAGGAGTGAATGCAACCAGTCAATCACTCGATAAAATCTGCTGGGTTTGCTTAGACATTTTTTAATCTAATCTGTATAATTAACTGCTTAACTGGAATGTATGGGTGACTGAATTGAAATGACTTGCTTTTTGTAAAGTGCTTTTAGACATTTGTTGCAAATTGACGCTACAGAAATAAACTGAATTGAATTAGAAACTTTAATGAACTGAAGTAATGTACAGTTTATGAAGCGGTTCTACAACAAGCTCTGGCTTCTGTTATATTAACTCTTCATGACAGTAACTGGGGGACATTTAATCACACTGCGCTGCAGAGTAATGTGAAGTCAAAAACAAAGAATTTTGGCTGTAACAGCAAATATTTTCAGAAATTAGGAGGGAGTCAGTAAATAGAAAATTTGTCATTTAATGCAACATAATTGTGACTGAATTACAGTTAATCTCATGGAAATAAATCACCAAACTGACAGACAGGCTGTTTCATACAGGAATATATTACAGTGTGCCTCGTTTATATAATACAGTCAGGTTCTGCTTTTTTTTTTAATAAAAAATAAGCACTGGAGGAGAAAAAGTGATGTTTTTTATTTTATTGTAAATTAGACATTAAGCACATTATTGAGCGACTCATGTCTTGTTAATTAAGCTTGTTGAAGTGGCCCAAACTCGCTGCACTGAGTGAAAGTTCAGACAATGTCAAGTCAAAAAGGCTAGGAGCACTGCGAAGTTGAGATCTCACATATAGGACAGACGGTGAGGAAAAGTACCAAAATGAGGGGACAAGAACATTGAGTGTCTGTCAATGTTGGCTGATTGTGCCAAAGATGAACACAAAACCGTTTATTTTGTTTTGCCTTATGCATGGAACATTAACAGTGAAGTGAAAGGACTCGTTTATTTCAGCCGTAATATCTGGGTTCTTTCGTAAAGAAACAAAAAATAAAAGAAAAAGAGAAAAGTCTCCCAAAAAATGATTTGTTTTTAACCACATCTGCAAATTCAATCCCTTTCTCATCAGGTCAAAATAAAAGGTGTGGCCTCACTCAGATATTGCATGTGTGGTAATGAAACGTCATACAGTTTTTGTTCTTGCATCCAAGTTTTTGCTCTTTTTTTTCCTATGTCTTCCGATATTTCCTCTAGATTTTGGTTTTCATTTTTCCCCAAATATACTAAACTTTTCTCATCATGGATCCAATAATACAGTGCATGTAAAGAAAGGTAGCCATGTATGGGACAACTTCTGGCTGTGAGACCAAACCCTTCTTTGCCCCTGTTTTCTCTAATTTTTGTACAAAGACGATACAACTATCCAGTCATGCAACATTGTTTGGGAGGGGGTGAGGGGTTAAGGGGATCTGTCTGTTTTCTTCTCTGCTGTTTTTTTTCTTCTTTTTAAGCATTTTGCATCTCCTTGCCAATCTTGTAGCTCAGGATCTTGTTCCAATCGATCTTGGTGCGTGTCACAGGAAGCTGGCGGCGTAAGGCTTTGAAGGTAGTGTCCGACATGGTCTGGTAATTCTCGTTAATGGCCGTCTGAAAGAAGACAGGAAGAGGAAGTGAATATAAAATGATTATACAGGAAGAAGAGTCAATGTGCCAAATTTAGATAAAATAATTTGTTTTCCCAGCCTAAAGGATGAATTATCAACAAATGTGAATCAGTATTTTCTAGGAGTGTGGCAATGCAGATTTATAAACATAAACTTAAATCAATATTGCCTCTTTTTTTCCCTCAGCCTAAAAACATATTCCTGACAAAGTTTTTTCTGATAAGATCGAGAAGAGAGTACCGCATTTCAAAGCACTGAGCCGTACCAACTGGGTTTAACATCTAGGAAGCAGACGAACTATGATGGCTGATTTTGTAAAGTTCAGATCTGCTATCATTGATTTTTGGCTGATTTCAATTTTCCTCCAAGATCTGAAAATTACTAAAAAATATTTCAAAACTTTACCCTTTCAAAAAGAAAGACGCGTAGTAATGTCAAGCCAATATTCCACAAAACAGCTAAAAGTTAGTTAAATTAGTGAAGATTTCAGCAAAAAATAAAAATAAAACAGAACCACCGTGTTTTATGTCTTGTCCTGCACTATATTGTCAAATCAGTCATTTATTAGAACTGTGGCCCTTCCTTAAGGAGCCTTTCTGTGATCAATTAATTTTATAAGAGTCCAGAAGTTTAAGGAGGTATAGAAGATGGGGTGACGCCACACTGTGTGTGAGAGAGAAGTTTTGTTACACAGAATTTGAGTATTTAAAATGAAAACATGATAACAGAACCTAAATGTAAAGCTTTTGCTCTGCATAACATTTGGACAACACTTGTGCTTAGCGTAATGAACAATGTGAACAGATAACACACCGTAACCTTGTCTCTAAAACTTAAAAGATTTCTGCCATTGTACAGAAATACAATGGCAGAATACAAATAGTTTCCTTTCTATAAGCTTTATACTGAGAATGGTTGCATTGTCCTGCTGCAGTGACAATGCCACACTGAAGAGTGTTTTTCTTATGTTGGATTCACTGATCAATAAAGTGTTTATTTTTCTGGACAGCTCACTCCAGTCACCTGTTCTGAATATGAATACCACAGAGGGGTGAAAGGTCAGTTTCACACCACTAACATACCTGATAGTCATTCTCTGCAGCTTCCATGATCTTAACAAACTCCTTAGCAGTTGAAGCCTCGTTCTAAAAGAACAAAAACATTCATCATCTGTTTTAGAACAAGTTTAGGTTTTAAAGAACACTGGCTATCATCTCTACTGTGCAAGTGAAAAAAGAAACGTTTACATATTAGAAAACCCATCACTGTAAGAATCTGGACTTATTCACTGACAGCTCCTCACACCATTAAAGTTAGAGTAAGACAGGTTTGCAGTTGTACTTACAGAAACAGACATGGACTCCTGAACCTCTTTGTGGCTCACCAGCTGAACGTTTCCATCCTCATAGTAATGAACCTGAACAGATGAAAGAACAGAATATTCACTGTGTCTGACCTGATGGTATAGCTCTGCTACTATGGGATAGTTGATTAACATGTAATAGTGACTTCTTCTCTGATCAAACAACTGCTAAGAATAATTTGTTACATCAGAAAACATTAAAAAAAAAGTTGGAATGTAGAAAAACAATATGGTAAAAAACAACATACAATATGAAGATTTGGTAGTCATGGACAATTACTACCAAACACAGCATAATCCTGTGTTGTGTCAAAGGATTGCCCTTTGACACAACCTTTGCTGTGTCATTATCAGAACACCCTCCTTCCCTCCTATCTATAAACAAACAGCAACCAGCTGGACATAAATATAAGTTAATATTAGTCCAGTTTTATTTATCAGACTGATGCAAATATGCCAACAATATCTTAAGTTGGTGACGATATATTATGCTTTGCTACGTTAAGTCTAATCTTATTTACTTTTTCATTAACAGTAATACTAATTTCAATCCATCTTTCTGGAATTCACCTGAAGAAATGTATTAAAATACCAAAAAGCAGAAACAAAGTAAAAAGAGACACCAACTCATAAGTTATTGAATTATTTATTCACTAGATGAAAAATGGGTTTCTAAAGCCTCAATCAGTATGGACCGATGTATATTCCGTCGGGGGAGAGGAGGTCTGATTTTATCCATTTAATAGCTTTTGAAAGCTAAGCAATGAAACAACATTTTAGCTCTTCCATTCTTCTTTGGCTACAGTTCTTAAAGCTAATGCAGGATCTTGTGGGACATTCAGTTGAAATAACTCTTTCAAAGACATGACACCAATATTTACTAAATTTGGGATGTGACCAGTGTATGACTGTAGTTAGCTGTACAGCTTCCACACCTTCTCCAGTATGAACTGGGAGCAGTCAGGCTTGTTTTGGCACCATGTGGCCATCTGAAGAATCTGATGATTATTTTCCATTTAAATTCTCTCCAGGTGAGTGAGCTTGTAGCTAGGGCGCGCGTCAAAGCAACCCTCCCTCCCAGTGACTGTCAAAAGGTGATTCATAGGCAGCATCTGATATGGAAATGGGAGCCTAAACAGAATACAAATACCTTCAATGTGACCCATACAGGAGAGTGGGAGAGTAGGCCACCATTCTAAATCATTATGGATGATGGAATGAGTTTACCTTAATAGGCTTCATAAATATTCAACACAGATCTGGAGATATGTACAAGGTATTCCATCTAAGGCTACTGTGTCTGTTATGTCCAGTGCTTCAGTTTTTCCTACTTTTATCACATATCTTGAAAAATGGCCAAAAACAAAAAACAGAGAGAAGAAAGAGTAATCTTTAATTTTGAGAATTTTTAACATGTTTGAAAAACGTTTTCCAAAGAAAGAAAAGCAGATGAAAGGCCCGATGCCTGTTGTTTCTGGTTCGGCACTCAACTTGCTGTCAGGAACATGCAGAAAAAGTCAGATTCAGCATCAAGAAAGAGCAAATCAGATACCTGGATTTTCATGATTCCTGCCACCTGAGTGGTGGAGGGAGAGATGGTGAACTTCCACTCTGACCTCCAGCGTCCATTCCTGGAAAAATAATGATATAATAAATTACCATCACAATTGGCGTAACATCATAAAAAAGTAAATTTATTTCAGGAACTTTATTGCTACATTCAATGCATTATATAGACCAATTACTCACAGATGGATGTTTGAGAGTTTTTATTTCTGTTAATTATGATTTTTTTGCTTGTATGTAATGAAAACCTTTAAAACTAGTATACTAAATTCAAAAATACTTTATTGATCCCAAAGGGAAATTAAATATTGTAACTAATTAATTAAAACTTCTTCATAGAGTTATTGTGGTGATGGCTATGGACAGCCATCACCAGTGGTCTGTATTACAGCAAATTTGAAAAAGGTTCTGGCTAAAGACACAGTTTTCTAAGACATTATGAAGAGGATGGACAGACCAATAAAAAAATTTACACACAAATGTGGACCTAAATGAAAAGTATGTTTAATGTCTGTATATTTAATACATTTTTGTTTGATTTGTGTATAAATACTGTGATATTTTGACACAGTGGAACTCTCATTCCAACTCAGGAAAGTTCTGGATTCTACTGAAGCTTAAAAGATGCAACTAATCTGCTCTACTTGTTAAAAACATTGAGCATTTAACATGTCATAATTCTGATTTAAAGAATGTTAGGATTTCCCGATAGCTCCCCTTTCTCCTGAGGGAACAGTCAGTGGTAGCAGTCACAAGACTTGTGGGATAATTACCCCAAACGACACCTAAGCTCAGTAAAACCCAGCAGCAAATAGGATTGGGCCAGCTCTTATCCAATTAGATTAAGACAATGAGAAACAGCTCAGCAATGCTGCTGAGTGTCCAAAGTCCTTTGATAATTATTGTATTAGCCTTAAAAGGTTTACACACATTATGTAGAGCATGAGGTTGTCTTGAAAATCAACATGTGCTGAAAAAAACAACATCAGTGTAATGCTCAGTGGGTGTAATGCATCATAATCAAAGGGGAAATTAAATAGGGATATATATATATATATATATATATATGACTAATTAAAGGTTTGAAATTGGACTTCTCTCTTTCTGAAACTCCGCCTTCAGGAAGTCATCACAACATGACTCCTATTAACCCTTTAACAAAGTTTCTGCCAGCGTTGCTCTGAGAAGTAGCTCCTATAATGAGCTCAGCAGGTGAACAGTTCCACCAGGTGTTTGCTAATTGCTGCTCGCTAGTCTGAAGGAGCTGAGTGGGGAAGTCACAGGTGGAATGCTGCTCATGTGGAAGCTTGGAAACTGGTGCTAGGGTTCACCCACGCGTTTTGCACAGCTGTATGGCTGTCACGGGAGATTTAAGGAGTTTCCAAACATGCATGACATAATTAAGACAACACTCTAGGTATGTTTTGGTGAGGGAATTTTACATAACACCGCCCCTTAAACTTTTAAACCGTTTGAGATGTACCAGAAATTTTTGGGTTGAAACTGATGGCACTCAATGCACACGATGATGGTTTGATGCCCGTCGATGGTTTTTCCATAAATCTGAAGGGAAAACAGAGACAGGTTAAGGTGTAGTTCATTAAAGAACATACAGTAAGAATGTCTGCAGTAAAACTAAACATCTGCTGCTGGCTCCAGGAAGCGGGCTGAAACGTACGGTGCACACTCCATTGGGATAGTGCTCCTTGACGTAGGCCCTGACGGCAGAGTCCACGGCGCTCCTCCAGCCTTCCATGGAGCCGTCAACATCATGTGGGCGTGGGTCGCTGGCCTCCTTCCTCAAGTGGTCAAACTTGAAGGAGATCTTATTCTTTGGGTCCAGGACCCGGCCATTCCCGAGGTCACCATGCTCTGTAATTAAGACCTGAACCGTAGAGTGGAGGCAAAGAAAGAGGAGGAGAAATAAGAAAACAAAACTAATCAGTTTTACTGAGGCAAAGAAAAATATATCCCATTTAAAAAGAACAAAATAAAACCTAAAGACACAGACGTCAGCCTGAACTTTCCACGTGCCTTCCAGCTCAACTCTTAGCTCAGCCTGCTGGGTGTCTGACAAGGGAATTTCATACGGCGATAAAGGAACACAGGGACATGATGACATCTTTACATAATACTCTGCAATCATTACAGAACCCACACCCGCATTCATTTGTCACATCACAGAAACTAAGTGACAACAAGCGGCTGAAATGGTTTTAAAAAACAAATAATGTGATCTTATTTGATAGTCAGGTTCTTAAATAGAATTCTGGCTAAGATAAGAAAAGTGCTCAAAATACAAGTTACTCTAAATGTAATCATCTTGCTTCTGATATATAGTGAGATTCAGCAACTGTATTTGCTTCATGTTTTCTTAACTACAGTTAAGCTCAAAATGATTCAAACATCTGGCAGTTTTAGGTTTGAGGTAATCTTAGGTTTACAGCCCAAGATTAGTTCTGATTTGAACTAATAACATTTTAGCCCAGCCAGACTCCAGATAGAGAGTCTATTGGGGGAGATAAAGATTAGGGTGATGGTAAGAACATGGTTTCTGGAGGTTTCACTAACTTTTAATGCTATTTAAAGATCATTATGAAGGGAATTTAAGACCCACATCTCCAAAGAAATGCAAAAACGTCTTCTAGCCACTGGCAAAAAATATATATGCAATGATACATGCAAAACAACTAGCAAGCTAGCAAAGGTATATTAGAATATTAGCAGTTAGCTACTAGTAGCATCAATCACCTCAAGCCACAGAACACAAAGATGATGTCAGATTGTGACTCAACCTTTTGCCTGTTAGAAAAGCCCCATAAGAAAAATAATAATAAAAAAAAACAGAATATACAAGATTCAATAGACCTGCCAAAATATATCACCTATGAATAACATACATGCCAACATAGTTGTCAAAATGAATTTAGATGTATATATATATTTTTTATACTCTTTATTTAACATTTTTCATTACAATAAAACACACAACACACACTGAACTTGGGGCACTGATTCTTAGTTAAGTAAAAAGACAGAAAAAAAAAAATAAAAAAATAAAATATATATATA